CCTCAGCATGGCCAGAGAAGCGGTGCGTCGGTGCGTGCCCGGGATCCGAACCCGGGCCGCCAGTAGCGGAGCACGCGCACTTAACCGCTAAGCCATGGGGCCGGCCCATCTACTCCTTTTGAATTAAACCAAGACTAACCAGGAACTTGACACATCTTAGCAATCTAGTTTAATATATTCTAAAGATTATTTTTAAATAAAACTGTGTATATGGGGCCGGCCCCATGGCTTAGCAGTTAAGTGCGCGTGCTCCACTAGTGGCGGCCCGGGTTCGGATCCCAGGCGCGCACCGACGCACCACCTCTCCGGCCATGCTGAGGCGGCATCCCACATACAGCAACTAGAAGGATGTACAACTATGACTATGATACAACTATCTACTGCGGCTTTGGGGGAAAAAAAAGGACGAGGATTGGCAATAGATGTTAGCTCAGAGCCAGTCTTCCTCAGCAAAAAGAGGAGGATTGGCATGGATGTTAGCTCAGAGCTGATCTTCCTCACAAAAAAAAAAAAAAAGTGTCTATAGCAGCTCTGACTAGTAGCTTCCAATCATTTTTTGAATACCTCTATTAATAGGGATCTCACTGCTTCAAGGGCCATTTGTTCCCTTTTGGACAGTCCTACCTGTCAGGTAGTTTGTCCACATGTTGAGCAATCAGAACATCTCTATAACTTCCACGTCTTGGTTCTTCAATATACCTGATCTTTTTTTTTTTTTTAATAATTTTATTTATTTTTTTCCCCCCAAAGCCCCAGTAGATAGTTGTACGTCATTGCTGCACATCCTTCTAGTTGCTGTATGTGGGACACGGCCTCAGCATGGCCGGAGAAGCGGTGCATCGGTGCGCGCCCGGGATCCGAACCCGGGCCGCCAGCAGGAGAGCGCGCGCACTTAACCATTAAGCCACGGGGCCGGCCCAATATAGCTGATCTTTAAACCTAATCCAGATCTGGGCTGGCTTTCCTATCTGTGCCATTCCTATTCACAAAATAAAGGCATGGCAAAAGCCAGAGGCACCATGCAGAAATGCAACAACACCTCTTCCTCGCCTAATAGCCTTCTCTGAGTCAGAAGCGAAAGGTTAAAGAAAGATGGGCTCTTCTACCCTCTGCTTGGAGGTCAATTTACAGACTCACATCGCATCATAATTTACACGCAGCATCAAGCTGGTTGGTCACCTGCAGCCTTTCTATGACACTCCAGGCTCCCCTGGACATAGATGGGGTAAAAGTATTTCCACAGGATGAAAAATGGGAGAAGAACAAAGAATGCGTTTTAAAATTAAGCACACGTTTAACACTTAACCTACACATAAAAGAATAGGTTTTTTTTTTTGTGAGGAAGAACGGCCCTGAGCTAACATCTGCCAATCCTTCTCTTTTTGCTGAGGAAGACTGGCCCTGGGCTAACATCCATGCCCATCTTCCTTCACTTTAAATGGGACGCCACCACAGCATGGCTTGACCAGCGGTGCCTCAGTGTGCGCCCGGGATCCGAACCGGCGAACCCTGGGCCACCGCAGCGGAGCACACACACTTAACCGTTTGTGCCACCGGGCCAGCCCTAAGAGTAGGTTTTTAAACCAGACTATATGGCATTTCAAATACTGTTACGATGTGCTTCCTACCTTGACTGGGACCACTGCAGTCTGCACCATGTTCCGGAAGCGACCAACTGAGGGATCCACATCCTCTGCAAAAAGACATGAGGGAAGGGTTAGTTTGGTACCATACTGGGCAGATTAAGGGTATAGGGCTCACCATGAACAAAGCACTCACAGCAACTCATATGAACAGTAAAATACAGCTAACACTCCAAGCGTTCACTGTGTGCAATCCTCACAACAAGCCTATGAGGTAAGAATTACTACAATAAACATTTAATAGATGAGAAAACAAACTCAGGCTTGGAGGAGTAAAGTGACTGGCCCAGTCACCCTGTTGGAGAGTGGAGGAGCCAGGATTTGAGTCCAAGCAGCCAGAAATGGGCCTGTGCTCTGGACTGCTGTGCTGTGCTGCCTTCCCTAAGTTCTTTCCCATTCCATATACTTCCCTCTTTTGAGGGGAGAAACAAAATGGCAGATATTATCACTCCCATGTTAGTGATAAAACAACAACAAGTCAAGAGGTCACATACCACATACCTTGCTAATGCCCGCTCATTAGCAAATATCAGGATTAGGATTCAGACCCAAGACTTCCAACTTAACTTTGCCTTTTGACCTGAACAACTGTATACAACAAAGACTTTTACTAAAGGATCTGAAGCCCACTATCCAGGTAGGCGAGGAGAGCAGCTCCCTTTCCACAGCGTACACAAACATTATTGTACACATAAAGCTTCTAATATCATTCACTCTGCAGAGAGAAAGCATGAAGACCAAGTAAGGGATGTGCTTGCAGTCAGTCACTCTCTCATGCCTCATTTAGTGGACATCACACATGAAAATAGAGTAAGATACTGTCCTGCCTTTAAGGAGTTCACACGTATAAAGCCAGATAGGCTACAATACAATGGAAGTGGTTCAAGAAAGGTGCAAAACCGTGTTCTTGGAGCACAGAGGGGACAACTGGGCCTGATCGCCTAGGATAAACAGGAGTTTTCTCACTGATGGTTGAGTGTGTGGAAACAGGCAGGCACAGACTTATTATGATTACTAGAAAAACAACTCCAAGCCCCTTTTATCTTAATATAGTGGTAGGAAAGGAACTGTTTCCCTAATAGATGCTGTACATCTTATTTTAAAAGCACTGAGGGTGCTTGCTATTTAAAGAAACACTCTTATGAATCCTTCTGAAAAACAAATATTCCCTATTTAATTTGAATAATTAAGCCCTGATTTATTTCTTTTAAGTCTGGCTTTTCACATATTAGGATGCCTCTAAAGAATACACTCTGATATTACATTAACAACCAATCTCTGTTCAATGAATGAACAAATGAATGGCTTCCATATGGAAGAAGAAAAGAGGAAAAGATATCCAGGCTCATTAGGAAGGAGACAAGGTCTATAAGAAGGCACCCTTATCTTTTCTCTCATCCCCATAAGAGCCCTGTTCCAACCATCCCTTCAGCAAGGAAAGCTAAATGAAGCACAAGAGCCACTACAGCCCAAGAGGGGTGGCTAACGGGGATGCGCCTCACATGTGCAACAGGCCTGTGGAGGCGAGGGGCTAAGCCTCTCTGGGGACTCTGTCCTGTGCTGGCTGAATGGTGCTCAGGCCTCTCGCCCTCTCTTCATTCTCTAGCCATCCTACTCCTAGAGAGAGGATACACTGTTCCAGAATATCGCTGCTCCTGGAAGATCTACCAACAAATTCCTTGCTAAGTCTACTTCTGGTATGAGAAAGGTTGCATGGGTAAAAGGCAAAAGGGGTGGCAGATGATCGTGGGGATAACGGCTAACATTCATCAAGGGCTTACTGAGTGCCGAGCACTAATCTGGGGTATTTTTATATATATTAATCATTTAATCTTCCCAACAATCCTGTGAGGCCAGTAGTCTGTTAAGTCACTTGGCCAAGGTCACACAGCTACTAAATGGAGAGGTGGATTTCAAACCCAGGCCCTCTGATTTCAGAGCCCATGCTCTTAGCCACTATGCAATATTCTGCCTGAATACACTGCCTTAATAAAGCTCTGGGGCAATAATTTTCAAGGAGAAAAAGAGTCGAGCAGCTTCTGAGTCCTGAAAGTGACTTAAAAGATTGCCTGGTCCAGTGATTCCCAAATTGCTGGCTGTTCATCAGTACAAACAAGAGCTTGTTTAAAACTACACATTTCTAAGTCCAATCCCTAGAAACTCATATTCAATAGTTCTAGAGCCCAGAAATAAGCTTCTCAGATTGGTCATCCATCCCTCGGGCACTCACTACTTTGAGAAGTAATCCATTCCACTTCACGCACCATCAGAAAGTGAACATGTAGTCACTACAACGAATGCCCCGATCTCTTTCTCAGGAATCCTTCACATTCTTCTTCCAAATATAAAAAGGATTTGTTGCTGCGTTTTATGCTGAGCCAAATACTTGCTCCTCACTGGCTCTGGTTTTGCCACTCCTTCCTCCCTAAGGCCAGCCCTGCAAATATCTGACCACAGTGGCCAGGCCTCCTCCAATCTGCTCTCCCTCATGCATGGTTCCCCTACAATCTCAGCATTTAGGGGACCGCTTTCCATGGCTGTGAGCCTCCTTCTCCCACAGGGCTACATAACACATTTGGTGGCTAAGGCTATGCTTACATTTCGTAACACGTTTGGGTGAGTTCTGCTCAGAACACAGGCCAGAAGGGTTACTGTCCCCCATTCTTCTATTAATACAATCTTACACTGTACTTGATTAGTTCCCACATCCCCCTGATGACTCAGACTGTATTTTCAATTAACTAAAATCTCTAGATCTTCTTTTTTTTCCATGAGCTGTCACTGAAGCAGATCTTCTCTATTTAAATAACTGATATTTTGAACCAAAATGCAGGACTTGAAAGTTATTCTCACTGCATTTCGATTTGGGAAATAAAAGCAACTTGTTAGTCTGGGATCCTTGTTTCCATCCATTGAGATTTACTTTCCAATAAGGTTTTTTGAATCCCAATTCACCTTCATTATATAAACTATACCTCCCAGTTCTATCTCATCCACCTACCAGAGTACTTAAGATATGTGTAATATGAGCCCACTAAATGAATGGTGAATGATGGAACAAACCAGTAAACTTAGTGGCCTTCTCATAAACTGATGCTCTCATCGTGCTGATATTTCCAAACAAACTATCTATAAATTACTTCCTGACAGAAAGACAAGTCTTCAATGTAGTTAATAGGGGCAGCAGAAGGTTCTCCAATCTTAGAGTTACTAATCATACTCAGAACCCCATAAAGACAATAATGTTCTGCTTTGAGGTAAAGACAGCAAACACCTATACCTTACTTAAACCTCCACTATGACACAGACATACTGGATCAGCAGAGGAGAATTACAGCTTTGCTCTGTATACTGAATTCTATAGGCCTTTCCTTTAACTATTTTTTTCATACTGCAACTAGCTAATGCTTGAGTGTTGACAGTACTCCACCAATGAACTGTAAAACATATCTCTTTAATACAGCACCTGTTATCCTAAATCTTATTGAGAAACATTATAACTGACCTATAGGTTGTGCACACTACTCTCTGAGACCACAGCTTTTTCATCACAAGAAACTAGGAAGATACCGCACCTGGGTTGATGATCTCATCATCCTCACTGAAGGTCACCCGTGAGTTCTTCCTCTTCCTCTTTGGTCTCTGAATGTCCAGATTCCCCTCCTCAATGGTAAGAGTGGAAATCCGCTTATTGTGGGCAGTGTTGAACTCTGTTAGGTTCTAGGCCAGGGTTCACACGGGAAAGACAGGAGTCAGTACACAGGGACTTTGAAGGAGAATATATTATTAAATAAAGGGCAGGAAGGGATTAAGGGCTAACCTTGACCTCCCCAGACAGATGAGATTCTTTTTTGTATTCAGAAAAGATTCATTACCATCCCTGGACTGCTAATATTAACAATCCTCCTTTGACAGAATGTGGAACATCCTCATTGACTAGTGAAGCAGTGATATTCAAAAGGAGGTGAAGGGACTTGAGCTGAGAACAGGTCATCTGGGCATGTATCCTTGAGTTGAGGTTTTGGGTTTTTTTTTCTTTTTGAAGATAGGCTATCATGTCTTCACGCTGAGAATTAAAGGAATGTGACTGGGAGGAACTCCAAGAATTGTTTTAAAGTAACAAAACAGAGATGAGAAAGGACGATTGACAGCTTCTTTCCCAGTTGCTTTCTCCTTTAAAACTCATAAGGACACTGCCACTGCACTTAACATTTGGCATTAACATTTTGTCACTCCCCATCCCTGCACATGGCCCCCTTCCTATTCATAACCATCCATCCATCTCAATGATTAAGTTGGCCTCAGCACTGCTGTCTGCCTCCTCCCAATCCTCTGGAATTATTCTAATCTGTATTGCAGTTTGAGATACTCCAATGAGATATTCCAAATGTCTTGAGGATGAAGACCTAGAGAGGACCTAACATACTGAACTTAAAAGACAGGGAAGCATGGAAGCAGCCTGGAGGAGAAACGGCCAAGAGTGCCTGTCAGCAAGGTCCCTGGCTATGAGGCTACTTCTTTAGAACAAAACAACTTCTAAATTGTAATATTTCTATTGTGCTTTTCTTCCTAAGGACTGGGAAAATGCCTTGCTGTACAAGAATAGTAAATGCATGTGGGTGGTTATGGACATAGTTGCATTTGGTCTACCTGAATAGACCAGTCGCACCAGTGCAGTGACAGACATGCAAAGGACGACAGCCACCTCACAAACTACTGGGATCAGCCTCTAGAAAAAGAAAACTTTAGCACTTTAAAATTAAATCTTATAAAATTCATGGCCTTCAGTGCAGCCAGGACCATAAGAACAAAAATCTAGTTCTATCAGAAGATTCCTGGGCTATTTGAACAATATCAATAAAAGCAACATAAATGAATGAAAGCTTCAGTCTCTCTAAGCCAGTGCTGTCCAACTGAACTTTCTAGATGACGGAAATGTTCTCTACCTGTACTATTCGATATGGTAGTCACTAGCCACAAATGACTACTGAGTACTTGAAATGTGGTTAGTAGCTACCACACTGGACAGTGCAGCTCTAGAAAAATTTAACTCCCAACCTTGGCTTCTAACATCCAGTGAAGGTGCACAAGACAACCAGAAGGGTCTACTGGCAGGAGACCAGTCTCCTTGTTAGCCCTGGTCATACATAACCAAACTCACATAATGTGGCTGTCCAAGGTGTGTCACAGCTGGCCACGCTACATTGCCAAAGTGGCAAAGGCCCATTACTAGGCTCAAGAAAACCTGCTGCAGGTCACTGGCATTTCAAGCTACACAGAACAGTTATATACTGCAAAAACCAGAGTTCCAAAAGACAAAACAATGACAAAGACATGAAATTACATCAAGCTCAGTTTCCTCCTCTGGAAGCCCCAGTAAGCCCTTGAGTTCATCATCCTCTCCACCCATCTTCTCATCTCCTTTCACAGCCGATGGCAATGTCTGAGGCTTCTCACGTAGAGTGTATGCCCTTGTGGATGCGCCAAATGAGACTGTGGAATCGATGGGAATTTGCTGAGGCTTGTGAGGTTCCAACCGAATGTGACCCAAGAAAGTGCCGTGTGCTGGGAATAACCAAATCAGAAATGTAAGAGAGAGAGTGAAAAAAAACCAACCTGAGTTGTGGAGAGCAGCTCCTCCCAGCACATCAATTTTGCTTTTTAAAACGACAATGGCACTAGGTTCACTTTGCATCCCTTGTCATGGGTCACAGTGAAAAGGAAAACTCCTTCACTGAGTCTTGAATCTCTTCAGTGGATTTCTTACACATCTCAGACCTGCTGTTACCCGACATAATAAATACCTCTCCTTGCTCTCTGCTGCTAGACAGGCTTGGCTTCATTCTGGGTCCAGCAGGAATGGCTCCAACCCACCAAGAGCCATGCCCCAGAAGGCAGGAGACAAGTATCGCTGTGGTCTGACCTCTCCAGCCCCAAGTCTAAGGAACAAAGGCCCTGGTGGCAGCTATGCTTGGGTTTTCCCCAGGACAAGAAAGGAGGAGGCTAAAACAGGTGCAATATCAATGCCAAGGCAAGCCAAAATCCTACTGGAGAGTTTGAGTATTTTTCCATGTCTGTATTTTGCATGTCATGAAATGCAGAGAAAAAAAGAGATAAATTTGCAAGTAGGAATTGTGAGACACGGCTCTTCAAAACCATTACATAAGCAGATTGGGGTGGGGGTGTGTGTGTGTGTTGGGGGTGGGGGGAAGGAGCAGAACACGATCAGCCCAGGAAACAGGATCCTTTACATTTTACATTGCAATTATACGCAAGCAAAATGAAAAAACCTCTGGGCCCCATGCAATCAAATCTCAATTGCATTTCTGGGATTATCTTTGGCAAAATTGAAAATTTTATTAGTTGGAGTGTGCTCATGGAATTAAAATTGACATTATTAGTAATCAAAGCAAAATGTAACTTGGGGGCCCGGCCCCGTGGCATAGTGGTTAAGCATGTGCACTCCGCTGCTGGCGGCCCAGGTTCGGATCCCGGACGCGCACCGACCCACCGCTTGTCAGGCCATGCTGTGGCGGCATCCCATATAAAGTGGAGGAAGATGGGCACGGATGTTAGCCCAGAGCCAGTCTTCCTCAGCAAAAAGAGAAGGATTGGCATGGATGTAGGCTCAGGGCTGATCTTCCTCACACACACAAAAAGAAAAAGTGTAACTTGGGATAAAGAACCCATTACAAAAAATTAAATTTTGGGGCTGGCCCAGTGGCGTAGTGGTTAAGTTCAGGCCCTCTGCCTTGGTGGCCCGGGGTTCGCCAGTTCAGATCCCGGGTGTGGACCAACGCACTGCTTGTCAAGCCACGCTGTGGCGGCATCCCATATAAAGCAGAGGAAGATGGGCATGGATGTTAGCCCAGGGCCAATCTTCCTCAGCAAAAAGAGGAAGATTGGCAACAGATGTTAGCTCAGGGCTAATCTCACCCCCACACACACAAAAAAATTAAATTTTGCTCAAATAAGTATTTTTTTTTAATGTCCTGCACCACTACTCTACTACGTTAATGGAACTAATCACAGCTTCTGCTTAAATTGGACCAAAATTTATCATGGTCCTATTAACACTTGAATTCCCATAGTCCTTAGCTCCTGGGTGCTTTTTTTTGATTTATCTATATATATTTATTGCCTCCCCCACGACACTGTTCCCAAAACCCTCTTTTCTCTCCAGTCATCAATTATTTCAGGAAAAAAGAAGATATCACAGGAATAAAGAAGGGTTGATTTAAAAACCAAACATAAACTTCTTCCTTGATGAGCAATAAAATACGATTTTGAAACTGAAGAACCCAAAGCATTTTCACATTGCCCAAAAGGGAATGTGTGAAACGGGATGGGATGTGAGTTACTTACTACTGTTGAGATCTATTAGGAAAACTCTCTTCAGATGCTTGTGGTAGACCAAGGCAGCGTGGACCCGAGAGCAAGACTGGTGGTCAATGGTAAAGTCACACAAATCAGGGTTTCTCCCAAATAAGTAATACTTCTTCTCATCAATAATCAGTTTCTAAATAAATATTAAATTAAATATTACTTAAATCTTGTTTCAACAGAGTTTAGCAAAAATTCTTCCAATCAAATAAGTAGAGGATCTTGAGTAGATAAAATTCCTCGCCAAGATGAAAAAAAATTTTTCCCTAATATTCTTCATGATAAAGAGCTCAGAATAATTTAGTAACATTTTTGGGGCATGAATGGCAATTAACTTCCCCAAATATAGTGGTCAAGCGTTTAGTGTTGGTATGAAAAGAACTTTTCCTAATTCTATTAGATGAAAGTGTCCTGTAAGATTGGTTGTCTTCTGTCCATTGGAAATTTAAGATTTCACTGGATCTTAATTTTAGGTTGAGCAGGAAATAAAATAATGTCTATAAAATAATAAGACTGCTTTTCAGAAATAAACATTCAAATGAAGATTATTAATTGGTTAGGAAAGGAAGGGGGTGTAAACACCTAGATCTACATTCTAATCATGCTGCCACAGTCCCAAAGTATTTTTGGAACCCTCTTTAGGAACTGGTATTACATTAAACATCATTGTATGAGCCTCTAAATCTAACTTTATGGGCCGGCCCCGTGGCTTAGTGGTTAAGTGCTCGCGCTCCGTTGCTGGCAGCCTGGGTTCGATCCCGGGCGCGCACCAACACACTGATTCTCCGGCCATGCTGAGGCCACGTCCCACATACAGCAACTAGAAGGATGTGCAGCTATGACATACAACTATCTACTGGGGCTTTGGGGGTGGGGGA